ATTGCTGTCTAAAAATTCATTAATTTTATAAACAAAAATAATATTATATAATATTATATATATTTATAATATATTATATATATTTCATAATAATTATAAATTTATAAATTTTCGCAAAATTATGAATATCGCATTCTCATAAAAAAATGAAAACAAATCCATCTCTTTTTCTCTGGCCATTTCCGTAATTTGGACGTAAAAGAGGGGCAATGTCGTATTCCTAGGACATCACCCCCACCTCCCAACCCAACCCGCACTCACAAGTTCACAGTCTCATTCTGTACAGACTTCATCATTTCTACGTCTCCACCGACTTTACCCATTCGAACGTTTCTGTGTTTGATTATTTTTTTTTATTTTATTTACATAATAAAAAATAATTATTTTTTTATTTTTTATCTTATTTTATTTCGTATATTTTTTATCTCAATTTACTTGTATATTAAGTGATTTAAATTTAAAATTTATGTCTTATAATTCAAATTTAAAATTTTTTACTTTCAATAAAAAAAGATGAATAATAAATTATTTATATAATTATTTTTTGTGTTTAACTATTAAAAACCTTTATATATTATATTTAAAGTAATTATAGGATATTGATATAAAATTTTAATATTTACTTGACCTTTATTGCAATAATTTTATCTATTAATTAAAATATTAATTCAAAAATTATAACAATTTACTTTATTATTTCTTTTAAAAATTATTTTTTAATATATTAAAGTATGTAATTGAAGCATGGGAGAAAACAGTGAAGAGGAGTACAAACTCAAACTCATGCCATGAGAGCTTCGACACGTTTCATACTAAAATAAATATAACTCAAAGTTTAATACCATTTCATTAATTATTTTCTTACGATTTCTTCGTTAATTTTCGTCCTTTGAAATATAATTCAACACCTCGCTGACAACCTATTTACATATCTTATTAATGTTTTAATTTACATGTACACTCGTACTTGCAATTTCTATTTATTGTTTCTATAAGTACGCATATATGTGGGGTTTAGCAGGAGATTGATGGTACAAATGATAAGAAAATAATCAGCAGCGAAGATGACTTCTAATGTGTGTATTATGATTTTTTTTTTTTTAACATTTTGACAAGTGACGGGTTCAAATCCGACAAGAAAAAATGTACTTATTCAATGATTAATGTCATTAAATTTATAGAACTAGATGTGTGTATTATGATTTTTTTTTTAACTTTTTGACAAGTGATGGGTTCGAATCCGACAAGAAAAAATGTACTTATTCAATAATTAATGTAATTAAATTTATAGAACCAGATGTGTATTATGATTTTTAATCGAAACACCTGCAAATAGTGGTATTTTCACTTTATGAAACGCTAGCTAACTCATTAAAATATTACAACCATAAGTATCAACAAAAAAAAAAAAAGGTTAAATCTCAAATTTAGTTGTTAAATTTTAATTGTAAACAATTTTATTCGTTTAACTATATTTTGAATTTTTTAATTTATAAAAATGTATTTTTTTATTATATTAGTTTTATTTGTTAAGTTTATTCAATTGATGTTTTTTTTTTAATTTTCTTTAATAACTTGAATGTTTATAAAATAAAAATTTAGAGATTAAAATGTGTCATAAATGTTAATTCAGATAACACAAATGCATATAAAACAAAAAGTTAAAAACCCAAAAATATATTAGTTGTATAGACTTAACAAACGAAATTGATAGAATAATCAAAAAGTATTTTTTTTCTTAATTGATGGACAAAAAGAGTAAAAAAATAATTTTAAAAAATTTCAAAATTAAAAATTTAGAAACTCAATTGAGTATATAGTCAAAAATTAAACTTTTATTTATACTAATAATCAATGAATTTGGTGATAATCTTTTATTATAAAAGTTAAAATGTCTCCATTTTAAATCTTACAGAGATGTTGTTTATCTCACAATAAGAGGTCGTTTAACATTGTTAAAAAAAATATTATCCTCTCTTATTAAATTTAAAATTTTATTAAAAATAAATTCATAATTATCTTAAGTAGGTTTTAAGTAAATTTTAAAAAATTTAGATATGTAATTTTTGTAATACTTACTTAAAAATCACTTAAAAATTAGTTTTAAATATTTTCTTTTAGTAAATTTTAAATTTATAAGAAAAAATAGTACTTTTAAAGTAAAATTTTTTTTAAAAATCCAAAAGTTATTGGACTTTTAGGTAATTCTATGGAGGATTTACTGTAGCTAATTCTTATAACTGGTAAAGAAAGCAAAAAGAAAAAAAAAAAACGATTTTCCGCAAAAGAGAAAAGAAAAGAAAAAAAGGGACAGAAACCGACAAAACAATGGCGCAGTGGCATCCTTACGTAAAATTTAACTCATGTCTTGTCCGTTCTCGGAAACATACCCCTTCTGCTTCCCCCTGTGTTTTATTTTATTGTTTTTTTATATGTGGCGCACTTTATTAGCAGAAGAGAAGAGAGCAGAGAACAGAGAGAAAGAGAAAGCAGCAAAAGCTGAACACACAAACACAGAACTCGCCATTTTCATCAAAACACCAACGCAGGCAGTAAATTGAACCTGTTTTCGTCCACCCTTCTGATTTCAAGCTGAAATGGAGCAAATCTTGGCTACCTTCAAGCTTGAAGCTTGCGGCATCATTTAGGATTCCTTGTTCTCTTCCCTTACGGGGGAAAAACGTTCTGCTTTCTTTTGTTTTTTTTTCTTTTTTTTTTGGTGAAGCTGCTGTTTTCATGGGGATGGGTTGTCGTAGAATGGTAGCAGGAAACTTGGATCCAGAGAGAAAGAGGAGCGGTGGTTTGAGGACGAAGCAGGCGGGTAGAGGGTCGTGCCGTGGAAGTTAGCTTTTTATAGTGTAGAGAAACTTTTTTGAGTTTACTTTCGGGGATTTGCTGTCTCTGGCAACGGATGTGAGCTGCTTGTTACTTTGGCTATCGTATAGGTTACATTTTGTGTTGGAATTGGTTGCTTAGTGTTTGCTTTAACTCCTCAAAGAGAGTTATGGGTTCTTTGCTGAGAGAGGCGCTTAGGATGCTCTGCAGCACGAATCACTGGTCTTACGCTGTGTTTTGGAAGATGGGATGCCAGAATACAAGGTGAGTTTCTTTTCTTTTCTTTTCTTTTTTCCCATTTTTCCTTTTTAATGGTTTGTCTGGTTGTAAAGAAAATGGAGGAGACGTGGGAAAGGTGGGAGCTTTAAATTTAATAGCTCTGAATGCGTTTCTCTGTTTCTTCGTTTTTATTTTTCACTTGCTTTTCCTTGTTTGGGTAGTTATATTTGGTTTAATTTTGGCTTTTCTGAATTTTACTTTGACCTCGGTTTTGATTTTATTCTCCTAATTTTCCCTATTCCTTTTTCTGGGTTGGATTTCATTTTTAGAAAGCATAAACCCTTGAATCAATCAACCGAATCAAGTAGCTGTTTTGAATTGGGTCAACACGGATTCTTTTTCTTTTGTTTTCTCAGTACTGGGTTTAAGAAAGTAGTGGGGACTTTCAAGATTTCTCGGTAACCAAACATCGTAGATCCGCCGAAGTTGATTATTGATATTGTTTCAAAGCTACCTTTTTGGTTCTATGGGAGTTGGGTTTTGTGCGGTTAATTTGCGTCTCAGACACGACAGACATGTTTGAGTCTGATTCATACAATACAATTGTATTGGAAATTTGATTAGTAATCTGATGCCTTTTTATTTTTATTTTTTTCTAATTTTTGGAACCTTGCATTTTGGTTTGTTCTGTTTTGTCTTAAAGAATCTTAGTGAAAAAGTAGATTAATTTTTATGTTTGACAGAAAAAAAAAAGGTTTCTTGCTGTAGTTTTAAAATGAGGAGATTTATGGTTTTCATCTCCAAATACGTTGAATCGACTCAGAACATTTGGTTGCTTTTTGTCCTTGTCTGTTTGGCTGCAGAGAAAATGCAGGGAAAATAATTAAAACATGGAAATTTTTACTTATTTCTTTACAAATCTTTTTGTTTGAATCCTTTTGCTGAGTCAACTTTTCTATTGTACTCTGTAGGTTATTGATTTGGGAAGAATGTTACTATGAACCTGCATCTTACTCTATTCCTCCTCGATGCATTTCTGGAAATAAGAACCCTGAGTTGCCATTAGGAGGGTGGGGGGGAGGATGCTTGGGTTCTGAAATTCCTTCCTCTCAGATTGGGAATCAATCATGGGATAAAGTGCATATGCTGATCAACAAAATGATGGTGGTCAAGAGGATAATTTTAGTTGGTCAAGGGTATGATTTTCTCCATTCTCTCTTGCACAATTTTACATGTGAATCAATTGCTTTAAGTTCTTCTCTTTGTTGTACTGAAATATATAGAACGCTGCTTGTTATTTTTCTCCAGAATAGTAGGCCGAGCTGCATTTATTGGAAACCATCAGTGGATTCTTGCACACAGTTTTACTACAGACACCGATCCGCCAGAGGTAGTTAAAAATTTTTGTTTCTGACAGTGAGTGTTGTTATTACAAAGAGTTTTAGCATATTCAACGGCCATGCTACATGCTTTATAAAGTCTGGTATTTAGTGAACACATTTTTCGCATTATTTAAATGGACTTAAAAGGTTATGATATGCTTTAGATGGAAGCTGAAAACTAGATCTAGTTCTCTGAAATGTGGGATTATAGGGAGAGTTAAAGATGAAAGTAATTAAACTTAATACAATTTCTTATCTTGTTTTTGTGGCTGCTGCTAGGTTCTGAATGAAGTGCATCTCCAGTTTTCAGCTGGCATGCAGGTACTAACATCATAACTTTTTCTCTACAATGTGGTAAAATTATGCTCCTTTCTCACAAAACTTGTTTTCTTTGCAGACAGTTGTTGTTATTCCTATTCTTCCTCATGGTGTTGTTCAGCTTGGCTCTTCCCTGCCTGTAAGTTCTTTTATGTTTGCCGGATATGTCAAAAGCTGATGTAATATGCATCCATATTGCATTGTGCTTTCCAGTCTGTATCAGTCAATCTAGAGTCAGATTTTGCTAATATCCTTAATTTGCAGTTCCTTTAATTTGGCATGTTTTTAAATTATTGTCCTTAAGGAAAGGGAACAGAGATAAGAATTTAGAAGTTGCTCGTGTTTGCATGATTTTTCACAAAGCCAAAATGGTGTTGCCTGCTTTGAAGTTTGAATACTTTTCTGTATCCTTTATTCAGATTATGGAGAACATAGAATTCATCAATGGTGTCAAGAATTTAATGCAGCAATTGGGTTGCATTCCAGGAGCTCTTCTTTCTGACAGCTATGGAACAAATGAATTTGTTGAGAAAATTGGGATACCCATCTCTCTAGGATCACCTGTTTCCATGGACCCCTCTGGAATTTATGTGGCTGCAAACACTGCTCCTTTAGTGGCTCAAAGTTCCAACCAACAAGGCAACACTTGTGAGACTTCAAGCCTTGTTGGCAGGACATCTTTTCCAGTTAATCAGATTGGGGATGGTCCACAGGCTAATGCTTCAACCTCCCAATTACCTAGCCCATTGCAAACTTTGGCTAAACCTCTTGAACATCACTGTCAACCAAAAATCAGTCCAGAGATGAAGTTGAATTTAAACTTGAGAGGTCAGCTGAATGGAATAGTTGGTGCTGAATTGATTCCCTCAAATCCTATTCTGTGGCAAAACCAACAGTCTGGGTTTAAAAATCAGCCTATAATTGGTCAATCATCTGTTGGTCATGCTGCTGTGAAATCAATGGAACGACTGATCTTGTCTGATGCTGATGTATGTGATAATGGTACTTCTAATATGGATGAATCAAACAGTCAAGGAAGACTAATATCAATTCCTGGCTCTGTTTTGAACCCACAGAATGAAGCAAATATTAATCCTTCTTGTATGGTGATGTCAAGGATTGGGTTACAGAGTGTTGATTCATCTATGACAAAGGTTCCTTTATCAGTCCTGGTGAATGGTCAAGTTGATTTAGCTCCAAAGAAAGAAAGAATGGATAATGATTTGTTTCAAGCACTTAATCTCCCATTGACCCATGGTGACAACTGTATTTCTTTAAATGAGCAGCTCCCTGGTGCCATCCTTGATTGCCTGAAGTATGAAATTGAAACTTCAGGTCCAGGGTGTATAGGTGCTAACTGTGAAGATGTCTGTATCAGAACCTCTTCCGGGGATGACTTGTTTGATGTTTTGGGGGCAGATTTGAAGAAAACACTACTTAATGGCAAATGTAATGATGTCTGTGCAGATGGACAGAATATGAATATGAAGGCACAAAAAACGGGTAAGGATAAGTCAAGGTTGGGGAATTCATTGGATGTGTTTTCAGCAAATGAAGGAATATCTGACAGGATTATTCACACTGGAATGAGTACAGATCATCTTTTAGATGCTGTGGTATCTAGCTCTCACTCTGCTTCCAAGCAGATCTCGGATGATGATGTGTCTTGCAGGTCAACATCGACAAAGATCAGTAGTTCCTCCATTCCAAGTGGTTCCCCCATATATGGCCGGGTTAACATGTCCAATCAGGCACAAGGGCAGTTACTTGGTCATCAGTCTGTAATAAAAGATGGGCTTCTGGTATCTAGTTCTTACCAATCTGGATGCAGCAAGGATGATACCGGAACTTGCTCTCAGACTACTTCTGTATATGGGTCCCAAATTAGTTCATGGGTTGAACAAAGCCAGAATTCCAGGCGTGATACCAAGAAGAATGATGAAATTACCAAACCAAACCGCAAAAGGCTAAAACCTGGAGAGAACCCTCGACCTAGACCAAAGGATCGCCAGATGATCCAAGATCGTGTGAAAGAGCTGCGGGAAATTGTACCAAATGGAGCAAAGGTATCCATTTTTTTTCTCTTGATGCATATCCATATGTTTCTCTTCATGATTTGTAATATTAAAAATTGATACCATGTTGGATTAATCAATGGGAATTACCAGTGTAGCATAGATGCTCTACTTGAAAAAACGATCAAGCATATGCTCTTCTTGCAAAGTGTGACAAAGCATGCAGACAAGCTAAAACAAGCAGGAGAGCCTAAGGTATGGTTGGATTGTCTTTTGCATATTATTTTGGCATCACGAAAGTTCTGAGTACAATAATACCCTCATTGGCATTTGGTATAAATACTGGTCATTGTGAGATACTGAGATGGATAAATGTCTGGATTTGATGTCCCTTTCACTCTCCAAATCTATTGTCATGTTCGTTGGTGCTTTTCTAAAAAAATTAAGAATGAGAATCTTTGTAGGTGACATATTGGTCTTTTTTAATTTTGCAGATAACTAATAAGGATGGTGGAGTAATTTTAAAAGACAACTTTGAGGGTGGTGCAACGTGGGCATTTGAGGTTGGGTCACAAATGGTCTGCCCTATCATTGTTGAGGATCTCAATTCACCTCGTCAGATGCTGGTGGAGGTAGGAACTGCTATTCTATTCATCTCAGATGTTGGTCCCAATTCTGAATAAAAAATGTTCAACATATCTTTATTGTTCCCCCTTTTTGACCGACATGATTCATCTATCATTACAGATGATTTGCGAAGAGCGTGGTTTCTTTTTAGAAATAGCTGACTTAATTAGGGGAATGGGATTAACCATCTTGAAAGGAGTGATGGAAACCAGGAATGAGAAGATCTGGGCACGGTTTGCTGTTGAGGTGAGATCATTTTATGTTCCCTCATCCCTCCCAAAAGACTAGAATATTCTATATATACCATTTGTGTGTATGTTCACTCTTATTTGTAGTTTAAGTCTTAAATTTCAAAATTCTCATTACGTATTTGGTTATGATTTTTTTGTTCCTCCCCCTTGGTCAATAGACTATTAGATATTTGTCTCAATTGCATGTTTAACTACTTGGTGCTAGTTGTTTAACACAAGTTTCCAATACAGGCCAACAGGGATGTTACAAGGGTGGAGATATTTATGTCGCTTGTTCACCTGTTGGATCAAACTGCTAAGGGCAGTGCAATACCGGCAAGTGCTTTGGAAGGCAACAGTATGATGGTCCACCACTCTTTTCCCCAAGCTGCTTCTATACCTGCAACTGGTAGGGCCAGTAGTTTACAGTGAACCACCTTGCTACATAAATTTCAAGCCTGGATATGTTAAGAGCAAGCCACTGCCATGCCCGCAATGACTAACATGTGTTCCAGTTAAGGTATCTGGTGGTTCTAACCTTGTCTAACTCTTTTTTAGTCTTCTACAAACCAAACGATCGCTGACACTGTTGTAGAGGGGCCGGGTATATTTGTAAGTTCAAGGATTTTATTTATATGATGGGTATTCCTGGGGGCAGTACAGTAGTGTGTTTATGGTTCACAATTGTATAGAGAGAGCATCAGGTTATGAAATGAAATGGGGATGGAGTGAGTATTTCTGACTGTAATTTGGCTTTTTACTCCCTTGACTATTTTTGGCTTGGGGGATATTACTGTATTTTGTTGCAGTCTCTCAGACCTTTACTTTCTGCTAGAATGTAGTAAAGATGAAGTTTGGTGTTTGGCCTGTAACATTTGTCTCTAGCAATTTTATAATTACTTGTAATTAGTTTGTAATTTCAGTTTTTTCCTCTTTTTTTTGTTTAATTTTTGGTGAGTTTGGATAATAGGATATATAACAAGAGGGAGTCCTTTCTTCTTAAATTCTTCTTCACTTCTCTTAAAATTCAAGTTTAATATCTACAAGAGGAAAACTTTTAAGGGGTTGTAATTTCAGTTTCTACCACTCTTAGTAGTTTCAAAAAAACCTTTTGTCAAGTAAATGTCTAAGTGTGATAATTTTAAGTTATCAGCATTTTGTTTGTTTAATAAAACAAGAATCATTAAAAGGAAAAGAACTTCTAGTATCAAGTAGCATGTAATTATAAGCGATCAGTGTTTTGCTTGATCAAATAATAAAATAAGAATTATTAAATGGACAATAATTTTTAATATTAAAATGTTTATTATTTATTTAATAATTTAACTTATGTAGTGTCATATAACTCATGCTATACGGTACTTTTTTTAAATAAAATTATAATAATTGATTTTTTATTATGAATGGCTTAGCCTACCAAAGTTTTTTTTATTTTCTTCTGTTAATTTTTTTTTAAAAAAAAACTTCACCCACCTAAGTTGCAATCATGTGAAATAAAAGCACTAAACAAAGGAAAAAGTGTGTACAAAGGTGGAAGTCCTAGACATCTCTAATTAAACTAAGAAAAAGAAAAGCAAAGGAGGAGTAATTAAGTGGATAGATATCATTATTATTAGCCGAAAAGTTTGATAAAAATGGGGATCAAAGTTTTAGCCAAATGATTCCGTCTTATTTTATTAATTTCTGGTAACAGAAAAGCAGTAGTCACCCACCCAATTGGTGCATGATCAAGTTTCGTCGACCATAGATATGCCACTGATCATCAGCCGCCATGGCGTTAGTGCCATTTTTCTTTTCCCGTACACAAACAGTAACAATCGTGGAGCTTCACCCACCCAATTGGGTGCATGATCAAGTTTCGTCGACCATATGTTTTTCTTTTTCCCGTACACAAGCAGTAACATTCGTGCCTGCAGCTCCACATTACTTGGCGAGGGGACCTCCTGTATATATTCCAGCTGTTTTATTTAAAGTATAGTATTTTTGGATCAGTAAATATGTATTTTTTTAAGATAATTTTAAGAGTGTGTTCCTTCTATTAGTACAATATACTTAAAAAAAATTAATTTTTTTAATATTAATTTTATTTTAAATTTAATTTATAAAATAACATTTATTTGTCAATATTTAATCAAATCTTGGGGTCATATGTTTAAGGTTTCCAGCTGTTAAGAAACACAAAGCGAAGCCTTTTATGAAATCATCTCCATTCTCAAATAAGCTAACTTAAACTTATCAGCTTCCTTAATTTTCACAAACTTTAAACATAAAAAAAAAAAAGAAAAGAAATACAAAATAATAAAAGAGGAAGAAGAGGAAGAAGCAGCTTGTACTACAAAACATCAAGTACCGAGGTATTAAATACTAATTAAAACAGTTAGGGATTTACTATTTACAATAGTTGAAATTCAAAAGTTTATTTACACTTATGTTGAGAAATTTGATCTTGTTGATTGTGTTTTGAGTTTAGATTTAATAAAAAAATAATTATTATTTTAAAATACAGATGCTCTTAATGATAAATAGTAAAGTCGACATGTTATTGACATTATATAATACTTTAAATTACATTACATAAATAATATTTTAGTAAATTCAATAGTATCAAGACTTGGAATTATATCGACCCACTTTCGTTTTTATCAAACCATTTGAAGTGAAGGTGCTAGCACACATATTGCACTTATTTGGTTGGAGTAATGATAATTCATTGACCAAACCATAATAAACAAACCAAGTTAAATGTCCCAGGAATAGGTTTTGAGATTCGTAATTGAGTCACATAAAGATGGCTTGATATTAATTAATAAAAATTTGAACGGTGTTATCTATCTCATAGCCAAAGATGCTATCATGAAAGAAGATGAATATCAAAATTAGATCGTCAAAGAAGAATAAAGGCAACTAGCTAGAATCGCATATTATAAATGTCCAAGGAATTGGTGGTGCTGTGTTCATCATCACTCTTGCAGTTTGCGTCCATCAATCAAAGTTGCCATGGATGGATCCATCTACTACCTTTTGGCATGGATTCTTGACCACTGCCCATTATTTTATCCCGTACATGATACAGAGGAGAATAGAATATGTCCATGCAAGAGGGTTTGAAAGGGAGGTTCTAATTACTTCAAAGGTCTTAATAGGATCTGCTTTTCTTTTCATTCGAATTGATTTCTAAGGTTAAGGTCACCCTTAATTCTATCTGTCTTTGAAAAGGAATTGGATTGCCAAAATTATTGTTGATTTTTCGTAAAGATGTTTGGTCATATTCTCTTCGACAACACTTGAGCAACCATTCTTAAATGAGAGGTTGTAATACAATTCATTGTAGTACAATTCAACTCTCTTCTTCCATAGAAGTGCCTTTGCATAACCTAAAGCTCCTATCTTCAACTTTTGCTTACTAATTATAAATGAGTTTTATGACTTGAAAAACGTGTTAGACACTCAAATTTGTGAATGAAGACTGTTCATGAATAGTTGAATGACCTACCAATTCAGTTGAGGTAGAAGCAACCTGAGAAAGGGCAACACTTAACTATAAAGGAGTGGCTTTACAATTTTTTTTCCCAATTTTCCAAATGTATGTTAGAGATAATTAAGGATTAGCTCTGGTACAGTTTTTGGCAAAAGCTTATATGGACAAAGGATTATTTGGTTTAGACAAAATAGGATTGTTTCAAAAATGAATAACTATCCTTAATTAACTAAAATAACATATATTTAAAAACGAAAAAAAGCAACATAGTCTAAACTATTCTAAATTACATTACATTAATTATTAAATGGAGGCATTGGTGTTCTCTTTTCATTTAATAATTTTTATTTTACAATTTGATATAGTTCGGATTGTAAAACAAGTTTCCATTTAAAAATCAAAATATATAAAGCTTGAAAGATTAAGAAGAAAAATTATTGGACGCTTGTAGAGTTTTGATAAAGCATCAAGCAAAAAACTTCAAAGGCGAGCGGAACTGTTATCTGGTGAATTGACCCCGACCGGAGACATGTTTGGCCTGTTTTACTACCTTACAAATAATCTAATGTCTTTAATGTTCTATCTGTGTGTCTGGGTGCCACAATCTGTTTTTTTTTTTTTTTTTAACACGTTTTTTTCTCCATAATTGATGAGCTTAATGCAATATGAAGTGGGGGTGATTAAACCAAAATTGTGCATAAATAAAACCTTATGGTTGCCTAATCAAGTGAGGGAACAAAATTCGAATACGACGCAACGTTTATGGACTCAAGTCCACGGGATCCAGTTCATGCGGAACACTTTATACATGAAAGTTAAAGGCAATCAGCCTATCACCATCAAATATACCTTATAGTACATAGAACAAGAGGAGACCCAGAAAAGTATACAAGTGCCTATTTCCAATTTTGCTAGAAGACTAGTTGATGGGACTTTACTCGGCAATGTGTCCTTCCCGCTCATGGGCAACAGAGAAATGAATATGATCCATTCTCAAATTAAGATTAATAAAAATACCAATTTTGAGTCATTGTTACATAGATTCAGGTATTTAGTGAAATTTTTTTTTAAATTTTGTTACGTAAGAAAATTTACATTAAAAATACAATGAATAAACATGTAAATTAAATTTAAAAAATATTTTATTTATTATCAATTAATTTTAATTTAAATGTAAATTTTGTGTTGAAACCCACTTACCTAACAAATTACAACAGCCATCCATTGCCAATTGGCCATTACTCACCATGCTCTCTGCTGCGCTGTCATCAGTTTGTCAACTTTTCACACTCGAAGTTTCAACCCATTGGTCCCTTTTGCCAAAGGAAAATTTGTTTTGTACTTGCCCGTACCAAAATATTGTTTCTTCAATTATCCTTATTATATCCCCTTCCTCTTATAAATTAGAGGCCTCCAGCGCTGCGAATCAGAGGCATATACTTTCTCCAGGGCTATAACTTGACTCCTTGTTCATGCAATTTGCCGTGCTCTCTTCAACTTCTTAGCCATGGAAATGGAGTCTCCAAGCTACCAAAAACAAAGTCTGTTCGCTCGTGTTTGGTCGTCGATCAAGGCCTCCCCGAAGAAGATTAAATCCGAGGTGGTTGAATTTTTCCAGATGATAAAAAGATTCGGCCAAGATGATCCCAGAAGAGTTATTCATTCAATAAAAGTTGGACTCTGCTTATCTTTGGTCTCATTACTGTACTATTTTCAGCCTGTCTATGATAACTTTGGCGTCACAGCAATGTGGGCTGTAATGACTGTTGTTGTAGTCTTCGAGTTTTCCGTAGGTAAGTTCTCATGCCGTAATAATTAAAACATGAACTCATTTTTTTATGGGTTGGATATGGTTTTAGAACATTCTGAAATAATTTGTTCAGGAGCAACTTTTGGGAAAGGTTTAAACAGAGCATTGGCAACATTAGTAGCTGGTGCTTTAGGTGTTGGAGCTAACCACCTCGCTAGCTTATCCGGACAGATTGGTGAGCCTATATTGCTAGCAATCTTCGTCTTCTTGCAAGGTAAACACATCCACACCCCCTTCAAAAAAAAAATGTTAATTTTTATCTATTTTCCGTCAATCATACTTTGAAAATTAATGTTCTTGTGTTCAGCTGCGGCTTCAACATTTCTACGATTCTTTCCCAAAATCAAAGCAAGATATGACTATGGAATGTTGATATTCATCTTGACATTCTCTTTGATATCTGTATCTGGTTTTCGGGACGATGAAATTATAGGTACGGCTCAGAAGAGACTATCGACTGTATTCATAGGAGGCCTTGCCTGTGTTATAATCTCAATTCTGGTCTGCCCTGTTTGGGCTGGGGAAGATCTCCACAACTTGATTGCCCTCAACATGGAAAAACTCGGGAACTTCTTAGAAGGTACGTTTACATTAATTTTCCACATCTCATTTTTTTCCTCTTGTTCTCTGTTTGTGCTAAAGAATCTCTTCTACAGGGTTTGGAGATGAATACTTTGGAAGGGGAGAGGAAGAAGAAGGGTGTAAAGAGGACAGGTCTTTCATTGAAGGATATAAAAGTGTTCTTAATTCAAAAAGCAGTGAAGAAACCTTGGTGGGTAAAAAGTTTTGTTTTCCTTAGTTGATTGATTGATCTCTTGGTTTGAAAGAATTTCTCACTATTATTAGCATTATTTACATTGGATTTGCAGGCTAATTTTGCAAGATGGGAGCCAGGTCATGGCAGGTTCAAGTTTCGGCATCCATGGAAATATTACCTCAAAATTGGAAGTCTGACTCGCCAATGTGCTTGCCGAATTGAAGCTCTTAATGGATATCTTGAAGCTGATATTCAAGTACGTATTAATAATTAAAAAATAAACATATGAAAAACATTCCATGTAACCATTAGTATGATTAGTTAATGAACTTCGCATCTTATGTTATATTGATGCAGGGGAAACCTGAAATCCGAAGCAGAATCCGTGTTACATGCACAGAGATGTGCTTGGAATCAGGAAAGGCATTGAAAGAACTGGCGTTGGCAGTGAAGAATATGACTAAACCATTATCTGCCGATTCCCATATCGAGAACTCAAAATCTGCTTCGAAAAACCTGAATACCATGCTCCAATCAGGCTTATGTGAGGATGCTGACATCCTTGATCTCATACCAGTGGCCACTGTAGCTTCATTGCTGATTGACATCGTCAACTGCACGGAGGAGATTGCGGAATCAGTTCAGAAGCTGGCATCAATGGCAGGTTTTGCAAGCGTTGAGCCTACTGTCTCCCCGGAACAACCACAAACTGGACAACCAGAAACCTCAAAAACACAGGACAAGGTTGACTTGCCTCATGTTGTCGTTACAGTGAGAGAGCCAACACAAGAGAATGAGAACTCTTTGGAATCAAGAAATGGCATGGTCAGACAAATGGAATCGTAAATATAAAAGCACTAACTAGCATATGATACCTAAACTTAGTTATTTTAAAGTTGTGGTATCTTTAGAAATTTAATCAATCCTTAATAAGGAATTAGGCAGGCTCATTTGGACAAAATTTTCCCTAGGTAATGTACTGCCTTTTCTTTTAAACCTAAATAATGTACTTCTGTTGTTGTGTAATAAATGCTGATATATATTCAGTTCTCAGTTTTCCTTCCTGGATATCACTTATAGACTTACTCAGTAATCCAGACAAGAGGGGTGCATTTTGTCAGTCCGGACTGGCAAAACTTTTTGCCTTGGCAAATAGAAAGCTAGGGTAAGAAACGAAGGGTGCTGTGGTTTTGGATTATAGAAAAGAGTGGTAGTCAAATCATGATAAGCAGCACTAAAACCAAGTTTAGACAAATTAGAACAAAAGATATGCCTCATAGAAATAGTGGTAGTTAGTGTGGCACATGTTCTAGTTACATCATGGAAAGATCTTTCTCATTCTTTTAGTATTTTAATTGTCTGAAATTGAAAATTAAGTGGAAAACCATATTAATGGGCTGACAAGACAAAAAGGTCTTAACTTTACCCGATTCACCAACTTAAGACTCTCACTAATTTGTGTCTTGATCTCCTCAGCTAAGCACATTAATTCAGTAATTCAAAACAGTGAACAGAAACTGTTTTATGAATTCAGAAGAAAAAGCAAAAACTCATGAAATTCAGTCTGGTTAGGTACATAACCATTATGGTTGGATCTTCAGTTTTGTCCTTTTCGAGGTGATCAAAATGCGAATCTCAGAATAACCAGACAAATAAGGCAAAGTTTTTTTTTTTTTTTTCCCTCTTTTTTAGAGGGGAGTGGGGGAAAAGGCAAAGTGGTGAGGAAGACAAAAAGTGGGGTTTGAGGTGTTTTCCACTAAATATTTTTGTTGTTGCAGTTAGTGCAGGCTGGAAAATGTTAATTAAAGCAGCAGGGTGAGGAAATTTCCAGCCACTTTTTCTTTGATTTGTGGAAGCACATATTAGCTTGTTAATACACAGCAGCACTTATCATGGTTGTTGTGTCTGCATATCATTTTCAAGGCTTTGAAGTCTTGTACCTGGAAAAATTTATTAATTTTTTGGAAGACTATATAGACAACTTTCAATTCCACCTCTCCTCCTTGCTTTTGCTTCAAAGTAAAGCATCACATGTACCAAAATGAAATCAGAAGCACTTATAATGGGCAAGCACCTCTATGTAGGGTTTTCATCTATAAGTTTTTTTAATTTGTATTTTTAAATTACATATTAGAAGTTTTTTTTTTTTAATTAATTTGAACAAGAAACATAAAAAAGATATTAATTTTAGTGTTATTATTATATAAAAGAATTTAATTAGACACACAATTGATAAATTAAAAAGTCAACATTTATTCTTTTAATATAAATTTAATAATAACAAAAAACTACATTTATAATTATAATTTTAATATGCACCTTAAAAGACAGATTAAAAAAATTCTTTATTTATTCATTTACTATATATAAAAAAAAAACTACTTTTAATTATCATTCTTCTGCTTACATGAATTTATTTGTTAACTTATTAGAGAAAAATAAACCTATAATGCAATTAATATACGTTTAAGTTCTCCTTTCATTCTAGTCTTCATCCATAGAATTTGTAGGAATTCAACCATGTCCTGATATTTCTCTCTTGCACTAATTGCCCATATTATCTACATACATCGGCACCTACACCTAGATCTACACGCACATGTACATGTTTAGGGGAGGTAAAAACAAAAGGCCTGAGAAAATGGGGTTTGCCTTTTTGTGCTGGAACACAGTTTTTCATCCTTCCATGGCGTCTTTGAGTTAAAGATAGAGCTGTATAATCAGAGATATCGTGGGCGACGATTTTTAATGGAAAGCATATGTATGGTTGGAATGTGAGTAATAGCAGATAATAGACCTAACTTGATCACCTCGAATTAATTTTTTCCATTATTTGTATTGAAAATGCATTAGTGGAGTTCTCAACTTCTGGCCATCATCACAAAATCAATTTGAAGCACTCACTAAAGTATCATCCACAACCTGATGTTTGAGGAGAGATTAGGTTAGGTCTCTTGGCTACAAAACTCAAAAGAATTAATGAATCCTTCACAAAAGTATGATTATGATATGATTTCAGATAGGCAGATAATTAATCATGCGATCACTAATCGTTGAAATATAAAAGTTTGAAAAATGGAAACACAAAACAAAATCTTCCAGAGACTCCGAAAGAAAGAAAGAAGGTTAAATGCCGACTTTAGTCACTAAACTTTTAATTTTAAACTTTTTAAATCTTAAACTATTTTTGCACCTTTTTTTTTTTCCTCTAAACTACTCCTTTGGTTGCATTTAGTTATTTTAATTTAACTTTTGAATAAATTTTGATTAGATAATTTTATGTAAAAAATAGATAAAAATTCAAATTTTTTTGTTTCTATACGTAATTTTTGTTGGATATTTTAATTGAGATTAAAAACTTTTTTCAATTGTCATTTGTTTACTATGTAAAATCATCAAATTAATTTACATAAAGATGAGGGACTAGGACAATTAAAAAAGACCAGAGGGAATATAAAAAATATTTTTTTTTAGTATTTTTATCAGTTAACTTATTAAATATATTCACATATATATATACATTTTTAGTCCTTAAATTTATAAGTTTAGAAACTAAAATATGTATATATTATAAGTTTAGATATTAAAAATATACATATTTAAACATATTTAATAGATTAATTGACGAAAGAACTAAAAAATATATTTTTTATTGTGTAGGAACCAAAAAAGCAAAAAAAAAAAACTAAAATGTTCAAAATTGAAAGTTTGAGAACTAAAATTTGGTATGTAACCAAGGAAAAAAAATCTGTTTTGGGTTAAGAAATGGGTATTTATTCAAATAGCTGATGTAAATCCATTGGGCTTTGACTCAGAAGTCCTAGGCTCAAATAAACATGACATATGGGTTTGTCAATGTGGCATCATATGGGTTCAATTCAAGCCTGTAGGAGTTGGCATAGTAGTAGCGGAAAAGAAGCCGAAATCAACACGACCAAGAACTTAAGCAGAGCTGTATAAGTTAAGTAATGCATCCCATCATGTTATGACAATCAAATAAAGCAAATTTTGAGTTGATCCAGTAGATCATGAGAGGGGATGTTTGCGGACACATTTTTATTAAACCTTGAATGGAAAACACACATAATAAAAAGCTAGATATACCAGGCCAAAACTCAACACAAGAGGTACTATAGATATTAGCAAAAGATGTTGTTTTGTCCCCCTCATAAAACTTCTAGACTTCATTTCACTTCCCTGAAACACCTCCACCGCCTCCAACAAGGACCTTAATGTGTTCCTTTTTGACATCCACTGTTTCATTTTTCCTCTGTTTTTTTGAAGCCTTTCAGCAGACTTGCATCTTCCTCGTTTGGGACTATACTACTAGTGGCTTCATATCCTCTTCTTTCTTGGGAGTGATGGGTCCTTGTTTGGAATTGATGAACATGAGCTTGAATAGTATGTCATTGAGCAGCAACTCCTCCTTTCCATCTTTGACTTCTTGCTGCACAATTTGGTTGAGAGATTGAGAACTTGGGAGATAGATTTTGAAGTGAGATGATGGAAAACATGCAATTCAAAGGCATGCATAAATATATATATATATATATATATATTTTTTATTAACTCTTTAATATTCAAAAGTTATATTAAATTCTAATTAATTTGGATTCAAGTTACAAATCTTATAAAAAATAAATCCTTTAAACGCTCTCCCTTTTTTTTTAATGGTAGTATTCATGTAATTTTTTTTAGTAAAAACTTGCAACTCATTCATTAGAGTTAAAGAAAAAATGATTTTTTATATCAAATTCAAAAGTTATCGTGATCTTAATTTTAGTTCAATACACTTAATAACATTAACTGATTCAACTATTAAGAAATTAATATTAAATTAATATTTTCAATTTTGAATTCATGATGGAAAGTTTTTAAAAATAAATTTTAATGATTTAATCAATATGTGTTATTAGATGTGTTAAATCAAAAAAATATATCAATTATTTTTTTAAAAAGCAAATAAAATAAAAAATTCAGAAGTCATCTTTTCTTTTACAAACAAAGACAATTTAATTCGAACTCAATTCATGAGCTGGGAGGCGTACCTTTTAACCAAACCGCCTTATAAGCCAGGTGCAGGAGTCATCTCCTCGAGCCTGCTGATTTGGAAAATTGGAATGTGTATATTAAAATTTCACTATGAATTTATTATGATTCAGGTTCAGGTCCATTGCTAACAGTTTGGACCCTAAAATTAAGAATGATTTCAGGTTCAGGCCCATCTCTAACAATTTGGGCCCTCAGATTAAGAAGGCCTTAATCTGTTCACCCTTGCATTACTTAAAACGGCAAAGAACATTCTTAAGCCCCAAAACTTAACCCAAAATAACATTTAAATCCCTGAACTAAAAACAAAACAGATAAGTTCTCCAACTTTATTAATTATGTAAATAAACCCTTCTCATTCATGGATATTAAACTATTAATGCTTTCAAGGTACAATTAAACATGAAATACCATTAGCTCTTTTGTAAAAAGGATTTATTTACATTGTTAGTGGAATTGAAAATTTTATTTACTTTATTTTTAATTTAAAAGCTTAAATATTATTTTGACGTAAGTTTAGAGGCTTAAGAAGGGTTTTTACATTACTAAAAGTGCAGTAGTCCACCAACGAAGGGTTGGATCAAGTGATAAGCGGTTTGTTCCAACTTAAGTAAGGTTTCAAGTTTAAGACCTTGTGTACGCAACAGCTTTCGTTGGGAGACTCATCCACCATTTTCAGGTGTGCGACGTGGTTTGGGTCCAGATTAGTTGGAGCGAAGCCACGAATACCGGACGGGAAACCCAAAAAAAAAAAAAAAAGAAGCAGTAGTCCTCCTAAGGCTTTTCCGGCGAAGGGAAATTATTACTGTCTTCCCGTTCTCTTTCATTTTCCTTTTTCGTTCTTCCTGAGTTATTTTCCATTTATTTATCAGTAGAAATTCAGCATTATTTAAGGAGCAAAGAAATAATAAATGGTTTGTAACTTCTTATTTTTTCCATGGCCAGTCCAGTTCTGAAGAAAGAGTGGGTAGCTAGGAAAGAATTAGAGGGAGAA